GGGGATGAGATCCAGCATTGCTGTGATAGCTCTGCCAGCCTGTGGTGACAAATTCCTGCCCATGGCTCAGGGAAGCCATGCCAGCACTTCTGGGAGCCACACATCCCCAGATCCATGGAGGCAGAGCTATGGAGATGCTGGCAGACCTGCTCATTTCATGCTTTTTAGAGATCACTCATTGTGTTTGATGTCCCAGAAAGGCATAGGATGATCCTAACCTTGTGTTACCTATTTTTCACAACAGAATTCAGCTTGAGAGTTCACGCTTTAGTGATCAACAGAAACTTGAAACTGCCTCTGAGCACCTACTTATGAGGATGAGATGTTACCACATTGACTTACTTCAGGCTTGTAAAATTGGATGGTTTTCCCCCACAGCTGCAAAGCCAAAAACTGAGTTTCTGATGAAAGGTGAAATTCAAAATACAGTACTTTGGCCGTGCATGTATCAGGCAGGCCATATTTGGCCCACACAATTGGCATCCCTGATCTAAAGAATACCAGAGAAAATAACTAAGATACATTTTGTGTTCCCTATCAATCAGGTAGTCCTGAGTGTTTGTTTTATGAATAAAGTTTGTCCAAACTACATCAGAGTGCCTGAAAATTCTCTGCCTGATTTTGCTGAATTGTGTGTCTTAATTTGTCTCACACCTCCCCCTGCAGACCCTTGTCCTGTTGTCTTTCCCAACCCTCTGAACTCCCTGGTAGCATTTGGACAGATTTTACGTAGAGTTTATCCAAAGATTTCTGCACTGATTTAGTGCAGGGGCTACTTGAGCCAAGTGAAACAGGAACTATTTCTAAGGAATGAAAAGGCAGAAAGGAAATTTTCTTATTGAAATATAATTTTTCCATATTACTTAATAGTCTGGAAAGTTAATGCCTTTCTGGCAGCACTTCCCACTGGGAAAAAAATATGGTTCCTACTCAGCCAAACAACAGTGTAATAATGCTTTAGGTTGGGTTAAATGTCTCAGAGATTGGCAAGTGTCACAGCCACCTTGCCTTCAGTGAAAAAGGCAATTGAGAGCTCTTGTGGAACAAGGGATTTACATCAGTAGGAGCTACTACACAAAAAACCAGGCACATGGCAAGGTTTGAATAGATGGTGAATCATGTGGCCCAAGGGATTTTTTGGGGTGGGGGTATGTGTGTAAAATATCAGGCCATGAGGACCAGATGGTTGAGCTCTGCCTGTGCAAGAGGAACAGCGAGAAACACTGCAAAAATGGAGACAGAAGCAGCTGAAAGTCAAGGACACTGGGGAGCTTTGATTTTGGAAATTGTGTGGAGGGTTTAGTGAGGGTCAGAGCAGTGCTGGCACTGTGAGCAAAAGCACAGCTGAAAAACAATTTTGTTCATTTGTTCTGTAAACAGGAGGAATCACCTTGAGTAGTATACACCTGCTTTGTCATAGGCTTCTCCTCTCACACTGATTCTGTCACCAGAACTTTGTGCTGTGTGCAGGGACAGCTCAGCTCTCCCACATCATAATTCCCCCTTCCTTCTGTGCCCTGTCCATAATAAATTCCCTGGGGCAGAGACTCCCTCAGTAAGAGTCTGTGTCCACTTGACAAGCTATTGTTGGCCTTGTACAACATCTGAAATTTATCAGAGATTCACTTGACTTACTTGGTAAATCCCATTCCTTAGGCTCTGTCTTTCCCATTGTGAATCTTTCAAGGCATTGCTCTTGCTCAGTACATGCTGGAGTGGGACTTCGTAGCTGAAAACACAAATAATTAATGTCACTGGTAATGTTAAAAAATAAATATTTAAGGCTCTGTCTTGTTATGCACTTTTCTTAACTAAGTTTATGAATATTCCCTTGGACATAAATGGGGTTAGTTGCTGTTATGTTGAAGTCTTTGTAAACTGGGGTTTGTGTTATGAAAAAAAGATTAAGTGTATTTCAAAAACATAGTTCTGATGACAATAAGGAAGAACAGGTCCCCATTCTTATCCAGTTTGTGTTACCAAACACACTAACAATAGGAGTATGCAGCAGATGGTGTGTACAAACACTATTGAACCTAACCTGTGAGATTTTTTTTTAGGTGTTGTCATAACTAACCTGAATTACCCATCAATACCATCCAGAGTGTTAGGACATCTTTTAAAAATCACAAACTCCTAGCAGTTTTCCTAAGCAGTGTGCTAACCTTTCACTCCTTCCTAACTTTTTCCTTGGTGATCATGAAGCAACAAATTGGCACCAAGATTGGAACACAAATATTTTCCATACCCCATTAATGCCCTGGTTTTGTTGTGCTCACTGAGAACCTCCACACGCACATTGACCCCTGAGCTGCAGATGTGTAAGCTTTTGATGAAAGAACTTGTGCCAAAATCAATATACAGGCCAAAACTGAACTAGAGAAGGACACTTACAATTAGTAATGATTATATTTGAATTTCAGTAATAAAGGGTTGAATCTTCTTCCATATAAATCAGTGGCACAATTCCATTTTAGATTTTGCTTTTTTTTTGGAGTCAGTAAATAGGCTCAGCTTTTGCCCAAAACTAAATGATATGCCTAAAGCACACTAAAGCATAGCTGTTAATCAAAATTAAGTACATGAGACACTGAAATGTTGTATTTCATCCATAGTAAGTTGACTTCTTACAAGTAGAAGATCCATTAGTTAAAAACAGTCTTTGGAGTGTTTACAGTTGTATTTGTAATCTTCTTATTCTGTGTTGTTTCATCCCAAATCTAAAGGTGTACAAATCTAAAAGTTTCCTGAAGTATAGAATGTACAATGAGACAAAGCAGTGAGAAATGTAAAGATTGTTTTTTGAGGCTTGGGGAAAAAAACCCCAAAAACAAAAAGAAAAAGCAAAACTTCACAAATCAATAACGAACCATAAAATACTTTTATCCCCCTGAAAATCCCCTTTATGGCAATAATTGACTTGAAAAAAAAAAAACAAACTAAATTCTTCAGTTACAGGATGACTGTTAATTCTGCCTGCTGATTGTATCATACATAGTGTGATACTGGGTTTTAGCCAGGTCCAAATAAATCATTTCAGGATAAAACAAATTCTTTCCTGGCCCATCCATTCCTGTGCTATTGGAATGCTCTTGGCCATTACACTGGACAGGAGCTCATGGCTTTTCCTGTGTTCCAGATAAGATTTATAAGACTGTGGCTCGTAAAGCATTTTTTGACAGTTTTGATGTGCTTGCATCAACTTTTTCCACAGAAAAATGGTGAATTTTAAATAGGTGTGAATTTGACCGCTTTTTTATTGTTATAATTTGAGTTATATATACACTGTGTTAAGTCTTACAGGCCCTTTTTCTTATCTATTGCAGAAATATCCTTTTCTAGCTTTTTGTTTGCCCTGTGCACAAAGCAGGACCTTCCTTGCCCGAGTGCAGTGGTGTTTGTATTGGGTCTGGAAGGCCATCTAGTGACACAACTGCGCAGGGGAAAATGAGAAGCCTTACTCGAATTGTGTTTTGGATTTTTTTTTCCTTAGTTGAATTAAACGGTCTTGCTACACCCCAGCGTGTCCTTAGGGGTTTGTTGCTATTCCCACAAGCGGTATTAAAAAAAAAAAAAAAAAATAGAGGAAATTTTTATTTCTTAAAAACAGTCTTACTTGAGATAGAGAACATTGCTAATTACTGCCAGGAAAGAAACATGGGGGTTTTTTGTGCTGAGTGGTGGTAGATTTGCACCTAAGAGGGTCTGTCCAAAACTCAGTGTGATTCCCCTGACATGTGTGTTGGAACCAAACATAACCCAGCAGTTATGATCCTCTTCCAGAGCCAAACATACCCAGCTGTTGTGATCCCCTGCGTCCCATGGTACCAAAAAACACCGCGTGGAAGCCTGGGGCCACCGCATCTCTGCAATTAAAATTAGAAATTCGGGTTTAATTTCATTGCAGCTCACCTTGGGTGGTGAGCAGATGATGAGCAGAGCTGTCAGTTCTTTCCCGAGCAATAAATCAGTGGAAAACAAGCAGTGAGTCACTGCCAGCACCAAGGTGCCTTTCGGAGGGTGCCTCGGGGGTCTCTGCCCGCCCTCACCGTGCCTGGCCGGTCACACATCGGCGCTGAGCCGGAGCGCTCCCTCAGCCGCTTGGGAACCGTTCCCTGTGGGAAAACAAATGGGACGGGAATAAATAAACGGGGGTGGATGGGGTGTGTGGGTGGAAGGGCAAAGGGACGAGGCCTCGAGGGCTGCCGGCGGGACGGGCGGCGCTGAGGGGCCGCGGCTCTGAGGGGCCTTCCCGCCGTGCCCCCGAGCAGCCGCGGCCTGAGGGCGGCCCCGGGCCGGCCATGAGGGTGCGGGCGAGGCTCCCCCAGTGTCCGGGCGAGGCTCCCCCAGTGTCCGGGCGAGGCTCCCCCAGTGTCCGGGCGAGGCTCCCCCAGTGCCGTGTGAGGCTCCCCCAGTGCCGGGAGAGGCTCCCCCAGTGTCCGGGCGAGGCTCCCCCAGTGTCCGGGAGAGGCTCCCCCAGTGCCGGGTGAGGCTCCCCCAGTGCCGGGCGAGGCTCTCCCAGTGCCGGGTGAGGCTCCCCCAGTGTCCGGGAGGATCCCCCCAGTGCCGGGTGAGGCTCCCCCAGTGCCGGGCGAGGCTCCCCCAGCGTCCGGGTGGGGCTCCCCCAGTGTCCGGGTGGGGCTCCCCCAGTGCCGGGAGAGGCTCCCCCAGTGCCGGGAGAGGCTCCCCCAGTGCCGGGCGAGCCTCCCCCAGTGTCGAGGAGAGGCTCCCCCAGTGCCGGGCGAGGCTCCCCCAGTGCCGGGCGAGGCTCCCCCAGTGTCCGGGAGGGGCTCCCCCAGTGTCCGGGCGAGGCTCCCCCAGTGCCGGGCGAGGCTCCCCCAGTGCCGGGGGGGCCCGGGCGGGGCTCTGCGGCACCTGAGGCGGCGGCGGCCCCGGCGCGGCCAATCCCCGGCGGGGCGCGGGCGGCTCTGCCCGCCCCGGGCGCGGCGGGGAGCGGAGCCGCGTCCCGGCCGCGCCGCGCCCTCAGCGGGCCCGCCGCGCTCCCGCTCCATGGACGCGGCCAACGGGGCCGTGCCCGAGGGCGCGGCGGAGCGGCCCCGCGGCCCCGCGGCCGCCCCGTCGGGCGGGAAGGAGGTGAAGGTGGTGGTCGTGGGCGACGGAGGCTGCGGGAAGACGTCGCTGCTGATGGTGTACGCCAAGGGCTCCTTCCCCGAGGTGAGGGGCTGCCATCCCCGCGGGGCTGGGGGCCGCAGCCGGGCCCGGCCCCAGCGCTTGGGCCCCGCCGGCGCCGCTTCTCACAGTCACAAGTCCATTAGGGTTGGAAAATGCCTCTGAGATCATCGAGATCCTTCTCCCTTTGCAGCAATACGCGCCCTCTGTTTTTGAGAAGTACACAACGAGCGTGACGGTGGGGAAGAAGGAGGTCACCCTGAACCTGTACGACACCGCAGGTAAGGGGTTCCACTTTCCTGCGAGGAGCAGCCCCTGTGCGGCCACTGCCGCGGCACCACCCCGGCACATAGCCTGGGACTGAGCCCAAACCCGGCCCAGCCTTTCGTAACTTCAGGCAAATAAGCAGAAACTGTGTTACTGTAAAATGTTGCTCCTGTGAGCGCACACGTCCCCGTTTCTGTTCCAGAAGATTTTTTCAGTGTCTACTTAAATCAGCCCAATATTTGAAGACTGTAAAGTTGCACAGGTTTTCAAATTGCTTCTCTACCAGCATAGTTTAACCATAGCATTGCAGGTAAGACTGCTAGAGATGAAAATACAAGCAAACCAACCACCATTACCTGTTGCATATCAACCTTCCAGAAAAAAAAGGATCGATTGTCTAATGGCAGTTCTGGTCATCGACTCATTCATTATCTTAACAACCCAATAAATTCAGAAACATCAAATAGCAACCATATCTGGAAGTATTAAAACCCAGTTCCCAAATGCAAAGCATAATACAATCAACCAGGAAAACATTTTAATTTTCTGCCATGTGTGATTGAATAGGGAAGGAGAAAAAGGCTGGTTTGTGTTCAAAGTCAAAAGCCTGTGAAAAAGCTGATAGTTGTTCAGGTTCATTTGAAGAACTTGTGAAATGGTTTGTGTTCAGCTTCACTCAAAGTTCCCAGACTCTGTTATCCAGCTGCTTTCCTAAATGAACCCTAAAATTGACACGTGCTTGGTTTCAGCTCAGTGTAAATCACCTGTTTCAGTTCAAGCCTGTGGGGTTGTTCCAAATTTACAGCAAGACAAATAAGAACCAAATGCAGTCTAGTCATTTTTAATAGTAATAAAACACACTTATCTTCTTGTATGCTGCATGTGATAGCTGAAAACATAATTTTAAAGGCTTTTAATCTAAAAGTAAATTTCACTGCTAATTTTTACTACAGTGTAGTAAGATCCCGAGCAGCCAATTTGCCAATGTGTCTTCTTGTGTTAGTGTTACTGTTCTAAGTCCATTTAGTTGGAATAACATACCTTCTACTGAATGGCAAGGGGTTTTAGTCTGTCTTAGAGGAAAAGAGAAGGACTGGAATCTGGTGTGAGCACCCAAAGAGGAATTTTGTTAATACAGGGTGTTGGCACCAAGAACCTGCCACTGCACTCATGATTTTTAAGTTTGTTTGCTGTCAGTGTGGATTTTTTGCCTGTCACATGGTTCCTGGCTCTCATTTAAAATCCCCGTGCCACACATTCCAGCATTTATCTTTGAAGTCTCTTCCAGGCTGTAAGGAGCATGGCCTGGATCCAGAGATGGCAGTGGGCTGGGCAGGTCCAGCATTGCAGCACTGAGCTCTCCCGAGCCTGGCAGGAGTGCACAGCTCCTTGTGTCCCAAAGCTCAGCTCTGCACCAGACCTGCACCACCAGCAGCCCAGGGACTGCTCACTGAGCTGGTGGCTTATTGCAGGATCAGGACATTTTAGGTGGGAAGGGACCTTTAAAGGTCATTACTCCTGCCCCTGTGCAATGAACAAGGACGTCTTTAACTAGATCAGGTTGCTCAGGGCCCTGTCCAAGCTGACCCTGGATGTTTTCATGGATAGAGCAGCCACAGCTTCTTTGGGCAGCCTGTGTCTCATTGTGAAAAAATTCTCCTTTATATCGATTGCAAATCTGCCCTCTGATAGTTTAAAACCATTATCCCACGTCCTGTCATTTCCCTGTTCATGCATATAACTATTAGTGTGTACTTTCCACATGGAATTCACAGCTGTAAAAACTGTTTTGGACTAAAGCACTGCTCCACTGAAGAACAGTGGGATGTATTTTGTGTCTTGTGAGACACTTTGGGAACTGGAGCTGCCATTGTTGGTGTGAAAGAGCAATTGCTTTCCATCTCTCATCTGGAAACCTCGAAACCCAACATTTTTCACCTCCCAAAACAGCATAATGGCCACAAGGCTACAAGTTTCTTGAGGCTGTTGACACTTGTATCCTCCCTTCCTGTTAAATTTATTTCACTTTTCATAAGATGCAGCAAGAAAGAAAGCAGGGAGATTGTCGCCTGGGTTAAGACATTTAATTGGGAGGGAGGAAAATGTGAATTTTGGTTCTGTTTCAAAGCTGCTTACATAGTTTTATGTTACATATTTATAAACTCTGTCAAAGTCAAGCAGCTTTTCAGGCTCTTTCTGTAACTGGAAGTTTTGCTAGAGGAAGGACTCACTTGAGTACACATTTTAATCTCATCCTGTTTTTAATAGTACAAAACTGATGTTGAGTTCCTTAAGGCTTAGACTAGAACAACGAGTTGTGTATTTTTAGGATCTTGCTTGGGGCAACACAAAATAGAGCTGGGTGTACTTCAGCATCATGGAAAGGTAAAGGACAGGTTCAGCTCCGTGGGCTGTTTAAAGTTGGAAGGATTCTTTGTATTGTCAAGTTCTGTGCAGCTCTAACCTTTGAGCTTACTTACTGAGGAAGGAGAACACAAACAAAAAGCTTAAGAAACAAATGTTTCAAGATACTAAAGGTATTATTTTCTTGACAAGAATTTTGGTAACAAGTGAACTTAATGGATTAGTGTAAAAATGTACCAGAAAAAGAATTTTTGGTGTGAGTTTTGTACTGTGCTACTGTGTCTTCCTCATCAAACACTTCTTGCTGTTGCAGGAAGTTGGGGGCACACACATGCAATGTGTAAAGGCTTTGTAACGTCACTTGTCTGGTCTGCAAGCAGCCTTTGCAGCTGCTTTTTTCAATTAGAAGCTTCCACTTCCAGCTGTGCTTGGCAGAGGCAAAAGCACTGAGAGGTGAATGAACTCTGTAGTTTTTCCATGCCAGGGGAGCAGTGTCGGTGCCCTAGGTGCAGTGCAGACACGAGGCTCAATTCCTGGTGCAGGAGTTTCTCAGAGCAGAGAGCAGAGCACTGGGGAGGAAGTAATGCCTCATCATTGTGGGTACTTGCTCTGACAGGAAGCACATGCAAGGCCTCCAGTGAGGTTTTTCAGGTCTCTGATGACAGAAGCACAAGGTCTTCAGAGAAATTATAAAAGCCAGTGAATGCAAAATAACTTCTCAGAACTTTGGCACGGAAGTTATGCCTGAGTAAGACAAAAACCCCATTTTTTTCATTGATGTGTGCCCCTCCTGCCCCAAGTATCCTCTTCTACCAGTTTTCCTCCTGCCAAGAATGTCCATTTCCCAATTTGTTTTAAACTGAATAGGGAAAAAACACAGCTGGCAAGCAGCTCAGAGGCTGTCACTTCTTTGGTGGTGAATGGACAAAGAGGTGAGGAAGAGCAGACAGAGGTGAACATGCACATGAGACTGAGACCTGTGGTTTCACTTCTCCTGTTCACCCTCAGCCACCACCAGCGCTCCCTCCCCACCTCAGGGATGTGGTTACACAGCATCTCCCAGAGGCACGCAGGACTGGCAGCTTGGCAGAGAATTGGCACATTTTACATGAATTCAAAAGGGTGGAGTTCTTTCTTTTGAAAAACCCCAAGTTTCTGATGATACAATGAATTGAGGAAGACAGAGAGGTCACAGTTGTGCTCACACGTAGGCAGATACTTAACCAACTCCTCCACAGCATGTTTTGTGTTAACTGGGGAAAGAAAACAGCTACCTGTGTTTGAGGAAGGGCTTTGCACACAGATTCAGTTACTGCTTAGGTTCACCTCTGTTCCTCCTTTTTAAAACTCTTAGAAAAAAGACCTAAATCTCTGCCAAATTAGCTCTGACCACAGGCTGAGCAGCTTTACAAAAAAAAAAAAAAAAAGTCTCCCAGGCTCTTTCTTGCATTTCACCAGCAGCACTTGAGGACAGGGGGTGAAAGAGATTGTTTTCAGAGAGGGGGATGTCTATGTTTAGATACAGCTTGATCTGGGTCCCGTTACATCCTCAGCAGCTGAGGAGCTGCATCTGAGCTTCTAAAGAGCAGCTTCCTTCTCCTTCCCTGTGGGTGCTGAAACCTAAGGTTAAGCAATGGCCATCTCACCTTCCCCTTCTGCTCTCTGCACCCCACCCCGTTCTGCACTCTGTATCCAACATTCCAAATGCACACGGAGCCGTGTTTTATACAGCATTTTCTCATGCATTTATTGTTTGCTTTAAAATCCATCACTGCAAATGGATTTGAAGATGAAGGAGCAGTTCACCAGGGCATATATATAGTTTTTGACCTGCAATACAACATATTGTGTCACATAACGAAATACACTTTTTCTGTTATCCCATCCAGGAGAGTGTGAATTTAGAGGTTTGTTCTGATTCCAAGCAAATAAACATGTTCCTCCCAAAGGGACAGCCCTGTTTGCCTCACAAATTGCCAACAACAACTTGGAGGACCTTTTAATTTTACAAGTTATATTGTTAGAAACTCAGAGGCATGAACTTCAACAAGGAAAACTTTACACAGCACTAGAGGAAGTTAGGAGGGGAAAAAAGTTTGGCACCTGATGTATTTAATGCATTTAAGGGATTATCTCAGCAACAAAATGGCAAATTGGTTGCAAACAAGTAGATGGTTTGGGAGAATAAGAAGGGATAAGCACTACAATCTTTGCTCTGAATGTTTATACAACATGCATAATTTTGTCAATTGTGTATTATTTCTGGATTAAACCCTGAGATATCAATCCCTCTTTGTCCAGCACCTCCCCACAGAGCCCACAGCTGTTGTGGAAGCTCAAATACAAAGTGGTCCAAATCCAAGATTCCCATTGTACAAACATCTCAGGCAAACTGAGTTATGCCTTATCCAGCAGGGATTGTCTTGAAATAAAATGTAGCTCAACCAATCATTTAAATTAAGGAAGGGAGAAAAATACTGTAGTATTATTTGCCTTCTAGTATTTGCAGTTCTTCAGATTGGTGACAAAAATTTTGGCAAGTGATTAATACATGACTTTGGACTGAGGCAGGTGCCAGAGCAGGAATCATTGCTGTAAAGTTGGGACACACTGAAATTTTCTGCATTCCTTCATTTGAAATATCAACTTGAAGATCTGAGACGTGGAACTTCCCTGTAGGGCAGTTTCTGGTCTGTGTGTGGATTGTGGTGACAGTGGGAAGGAAGCATTCCCAGTTGTCCTTTTGGAAATTCAGTACATCACAGATATATGCCTGATTTCATCATTCACATGACAAATACACATTCTAAAGACTGCTTGAATCATGCTTTCTTCCTTATTAAATAAAAAAGATTGCTTTGTTGTTGTTTTTTTTTTCCTGAGCTGCCAGCTGTAGCTGGGAATTACTGCTTTCTTGAACTTAATCTCTCAAAGCAAGACACCTTCAGACCCTGGCATGGTGATTACTGTAAGGGGAAGAGTACAGGTCTGAAGCAAATCAGCTTCCTCTTGTCACATCACGTGCTAGAATATCCCTAATCAGAAGTATGACAAATCCCCTGCTTTTCCAGAATTCAGCAGAATTCCCTTAGATCTGCTGGGGAGTCTTGCATCAAAGGCCAGTTAAGCCTGGCTCATGCTGCAGCATGCCTTGTACAATCCTGTGTGTAATCACTGCTTCCTCTTAGCTCACCAGGCTGGGAAAAAGCAAGTTTGCCACTAAGGTTTCTACTTCACCATTCCTGTCTAGCAAATACAGTGTTTCTTCTTGTCACAGCATCACATGTGCAAATGATTATGGGGACTGTCACTGTCAAATTGAAAATATTTAATAATAATTAGCATATTCCTCTTGATGACTTTATTTTTGAGCAGTAACTTGACAGTTGGTGTATAGAACTGCTTCTAAGTCCTCAGCAAGTGAACAAAGCAGGCTTTTTATTAAAACCTGCTGAGGATGTGTTCTGTATTCTAAACCATGTGTTTTGTCAGTGAGGGAGAATCTTCTGTACTCAAGGGAAGGAATTTTACAAGTATGAAAAACTTGCAGTCTGTGCAATTACAGTACCATTGTTCCTGATCTCCAGTATGTGTCTGTACATATCCCCATTGTTGTGTTTGCTCAGGACAGAGATTTCTTCATCCAAACCATCCTGTGTGTTTCAGGGCAGGAGGACTACGATCGGCTACGGCCACTTTCTTACCAGAACACCAATGTTGTGTTAATTTGTTACGATGTCATGAACCCCACTAGCTACGATAATGTAGCAGCCAAGGTAAGAGGTTTCTAAATGAATTACACATGCCTGATGTATGACAAGATGTCAGATTAGAAATGCTGTTGCTTTTAGTATCCTGTACCCTGGGCGTGTAGATGCCCAGATCACTCATCCTGTGCTGAGCTGCAGGTCACAGACTTTAGAGCTGGGGCTCATCTCTCCATGACTCCCAAGTGCTCAGGACCAGGGTTGACTCTCACTAAAAAGATCAAACAACAGCAATTAAATCACTGTTTTTCTGTAGCAATGTCACATGACTAACATTGCACATCTTAAAGAATACTTCCATCACATGTGTATTTATTTGCAGAGAAGAGATGAGAGCAACCACTTCTCTGTGCTGGGATTTCTGTTATGTTCCAAAGCATTCTTGGACCTAGCACCAGGAAAACAAAGCAAGACTTAGTCCAAATTCTGTTTTGAAATGTGGCTTTAGAGGAGCTCCTCAGAATTTAAACAGATGGTAAATAAACATTTTGGCATAGAGACAGATGCCACTATGTTTTTATAAAGAAGCTGACTCTGGGTAGGAGTTTTAAACACTTATGGGATGTAAATAGTGCAGGTTGCCCCCCCACCCCACCCCACTAGACTAACTCCAAAACTCTGAAATTGCAACTTATATTAAATGCTGCTCGGCTGTATTGTTTTGATTTCAGGAAACAAAAGACAAAATAAAAAAGCAGATGTCAAGGTTTTGTTTTTCTACCCCCAGTGGTATCCTGAAGTGAATCACTTTTGCCGGGGTGTCCCGCTCGTGCTGATCGGCTGCAAGACAGACCTTCGGAAGGACAAGGAGCACCTGCGCAAGCTCAGGGCTGCCAAGCAGGAGCCCATCACCTACAACCAGGTAAACTTCAGTGTTTCTACAGTGGTGGCCTCTTGGCAGGAGATATAGCACGTGATGGCATTGCTCCTCACAGGTATGATCACAGAGGCTGCAAAATTAGGTGATCCAGATAAAGAAATGGTTGACAGCACTAACAGAGGTTTCTGTAAGTTCTTTTTGGAAGTAGCCAAATCACCACCCATTTTTAGTGCCAGTGTAAAGAGAAATATGAGCAGTTTTAAAGGACACAACTATCTGCTTTCTGTGCTCATTACATCTCATTCTTCTTTCACAGCTGAGTTATTACTGTTACAAGTTTGTAAGCCTTAACAAGTTTGCTGGACTTCCTTCATAATTGTTATTAGTCTACATTGCAGCCATCACTGGTGCTTTAAGCAGTACTGTGATAAAGACTGGAGATGTTAGGAAACTCATTCCAGTATTAAATACACTGACCATTCTGGAATAAATGTATTTTTCAAATCCTACTTAAAAATAAATCCCTTCAAGTCCAATAGCAAGAACATCTGCAAGGTTTCTCTGACATGAGAGACTGTTCTTTGAAGTCTCTAAAGTAATCTCAAGAAAACGACATATTATCAGTCTCTCTAAGTGTTATGAAGCAGTTAGATTTATGAGTAGTGTTATGTCACTGGCATAGCTGCCCTAGGTACAGGAGAAAGAATGATGGAACAGCTTGTCCTATTCACACAAGACCTTTCTGCTCTGGTCCTCCAATTTTTATTTTTCTTTTTTCTAAACTACAAAGCCATCCTTCTCCTCTCACCTCAGAGCAAGAACAGCAGCTCTCAAACTGAGACACATGTCCAGGGAACAGGGTCAAGTGCACTATGACCTTGAGTGAATCACCGCTTCTTCTAAACAGCAGGAAAATAAACTGCAACTGCATCACCACAAAACCATGCTGGGCCTTTTAGTTTGTCTCCCTCGCACACAATATGAGATTCCCGCCTGTCACTGTGAACAGTTGCAGATTGTCCCTCGTTTGCATGAATAAATCCCTTTATCATCCTCATATGAGAGAGGTTCCAGGCAAGCAACAGACACTTCTGGCCAGTCTGCTGAGGCCTCATGCAGTTAAACTCAAGGTTTGCATGTTATACAAACTTTGCCTCCTATGTGAGCCCTCCCAGTTGGTTTTTCCTCCCTGAAATATGCTCTACCTCAGTTTTTCACAGCTGATGGCACCTTGAGCCACAACACGATGCTTCCCATACCAGGCACAGAGGATCTGAACAGTATCTGCCACCACTGCAGCTTACAAACAACTGGAAGGAGACAAATGGCTTAAATATGAAGAAACATCACCCCCCACTCCCTGAGATTACAATGAATAATTGCAGAGTCTGTGAGCCATGGGTTGTAGACCTGGAGTACACAGTAAAAGGATCACAAGCATTCAAACATGGGGGCTGGCTCTGCAATAAATGGACAAAAGGGACAATAAATGGATCACAAGTAAGAAATCACTGTGCTTTGTCTGTAGTGACTTCATACAATCAGCATTGCATGGAAATATTTTAGATTCAAGCCTGTTCCCATTGCATGGCTGAGAAATGCAGGCACCCGTTTGTTTTTGTGAGGATTTTAGCTGAGCCCTTGCAATGTTTCAAAGCAAAAGTCAAGGTTCCTGCATGTGCACCAGCAAAACAAGGCAAAGCATCACTGCAGATTCTGTTCTTGCATGTGACATTCATTACTAAAGGTGACATCACAGAATAGTTAAGGTCAGGCCTGAAAAAAATACCACCATGTAGACATCTTATCCTCACTTAGGTACCTACCTCAGCATTTAGTTTAAAGAAATTCAATACTGGGAAAATTTTTGTGCTATCAGGACTGCATCTCAAGAGTCCCTAATGCTCTGAACTCTTAGACCAGGCTTTGGTTCAGCAGAGTGGAAAAACACCAAGTTTATTTACAGTGCTTCAGTTTATTTCCAATGCCACTCACACTCTAGCACTGCACTCAGAGGCAGCTTCTTTCTTCATGATTGCAAAGATGTACAAATTAATTCCCTTTCTTCCCAACTCACTTTCCTTCACTCATCCACCCAACTTACATCTTTTCTTACCTTTTTGTCCTTTCCAGGGTGAGGCAGCTTGCAAGGAGATTAACGCACAAATTTACCTGGAATGCTCAGCAAAATGCCGTGAGAACATAGAAAATGTTTTTAAAGAAGCCACAACCATTGCACTGAGTGCCATGAAGAAAGCCAAGGGCCACAGGAAACGGAAAGTATGCTCAGTGTTATGATCTGGACTGCACAAGAGCCAAGTGATTCAGATTGTATAAAAGTTTAACTTTAAAGCCAATTTTTTACATATTTGTACTCCTAGGATAATTTTTATTTTAAAAATTTTTATTATTGTTAGTATTTTTGCACTTCTGTTACACTGTTCTCACTGAGTTTTCAAACCTGTTTATCACAGTTAACTCATGCTGTGTGCCTTCACCCATCTGCCTTTTACTTCTAAGTGTGAACAACTCACTATTTAAACTGCAATGAACAACAACTGCTACTATATCACTTAGTATTGATGTTTTTCTTCCTCTGCGGAATAATTGTGGCATGTTAGAGCTACAATTTACTGCCTTTTTCCAGTAGAAAACTCACATGTTTCAGAAGCAATGTTAAAGCAGCTTATCAGGCACCTTTAAAGAGACAGAAGTTTTGTCTTAACATTTTCAAGTTAATTAACTTGGTGGCAATGGCAGGAGCTGGCCTCAAGCTGGCCTCTGAGTGCAGATGGAACATCCACCATCTCCCAGGACCAGCTCTGCAGACCTGCACCTCAGAGTTCTTCAAGGCCTGCTGCTGGAGTGGAAAATGGCATTTATCAGTGGAAATATGTCAGTTGCTCCAATTAAATAATGGAGTATCAAGGGAAATAGTTAATTTACAGCAATCAAATTTAGGAGTACTCCAAGCAGCTACTACATGTAATGTTAAGTCAGTCTTATGATACACATTTACAGCCTATTTAATACAAGACAGAAGCAAATCATGGTGCACACTAGAGGAAAATTTCATTCACTTGTGAAACAATCTCTACTGGTATAAATTAAAATTTTCCCTTTTGTGATGAAGGTGTCAATTGTCTAAAGATCAGGGAGGCTCCCACTGCACACCCTGGTACATGTGCCTCCTATCTCCTGGTTCTTTTGCTCATCCCCTCACTGAGATCTCAGACTGTAGAAGCAAACCCTAGTTTGTGCACATCATAAACCAAACCTGAGAGGAGATGAGGTTCCTGCAGTACAGGTGTTGCTGAAAGCTTTCTGTGTAAGGCAAACTGTACATGACCAGCTCGTGCAAAACTGTTTTGGAGCAAGCCATCATTATTGTTTTACATGCAGGTAAACAGGTCTCGACCCTTGAAAAATATTTTTCTTTTTCATTTTTTTCCTAACTTGTTTTGATTTAATTAAGGTTCATGAATACTTATGAGCCTAAAATGGGAAATTAAATTAATTGGAAGTTTATGCATATCCTTGACTATAGAAAAACCTTGAAGGATTGTGCAGCCTTTTCTCCACTTGTCATTAAAAGAACCACCCCTCACTTCACTCAGTACAAAACTGAAACACCAATGTTCAGGAAGTGACCCATTCACCATCAGATCCACAGTGGAAATCTCTCTGGTTTTTTTAATCTGAGTTTCTCAGGTTGCAGAACTCTAACATGGTTCTAGTTTGCTCTCAACAGAAGACAATTTAGATTTCATCAACTGAGAGTTCAAGGAGTAAAACAAAAAACCTTACAGGGTATGTAAAAGATAGCAGAACACTGCCCAACTGGTGTGAAAACTGTTGAAAATATGCAAATTGCAGTTTCTTTTTCATGCCCACAGGACAGTGACACAGCAAAGGTAATTTTCCTAGCTTGAGCAACAGAAGTGATGAATCCATCTCAAGCCTGTGGTGCATTATCTGTCCCCTCGTGAGCACCCTCTGGGGAGGAGGGCACTGTTTTCCACTCACACTGCCAGAGGATGTGCCCGGTTTGGGCTTTGTGCTGGCTTTCACTGTTGGGAAAGATACAGCCCAAGGCAGCTCAGTCCTGCAGCTGCCTGAGGAGGTACAGAAGTTACAGCACCCAAAAAAAGGTGTTCCAATGAACAAGTGTAAATTCAAGCAGAACAAGGACTTCAGCAGAGTAGTAAGTCAGTGTTTGTCCCCTGCCATCCCCTTGACCCAGCATTTTCATTCTCTTCATTACTGGTACAAGTGCAGCATCTAAAGAAAGTATTTAATATTTGAACTGAGCCTGACCTCCCCTTCCCAGAACCATGCCTCAAAAACCAACCCAAGGGCCATGTGTTAGTTACTAAAAAGGGGCAGAGGCAGTTGCATATTGAATGGTTTATTTTAGGTTCTTTCAGGCCTGGACAAACGACCTGGTCTCCCTGGAAAAGGGCTAGCAGTCTTCCCTGCCATTTAAAAACTGATTTTGCTTGCATCATTTTGTTTTCAAAGGAGGAATTCCTCATTTTTAAATAGCTTTTTAGAAGTGTATATAGCAGCAGTATGGTACAAAGATGAGTATTTTCTTTTCACAGTACACACAAGTTAGTATTGCCACTGAGAATATGCATTAAACAAATGCCTTGAAAATCAGCATTCGCTCTATATTACTGATCCACCCAGAGGGTTCATAAACCTCAATAAATTCAATACCCAGAATTTAAATAATAAAACTGGAAAGTGTCAGGTATCATTCCAGAATTGGAATTACAGTAGATCCCACATTTTCCCCAACACTGGCACTTTGCCAGGCAGGTGCATGCTGCTCTATATACAGAAGAAAAACCCCAGAAGCAAATACATTTTATATTAAATATACATAAATAGCAGGAGTGTGACTGGAGAGCCATGCTTGCATTAATACTGAGTCTGTGCTGGCAGAGTCCTTCACCAAACACGGGGACAGGCGAGTCCTTCCGAGCCCATCCATTGCCTGGCTGGGGTTGAGCAGGATCTGTCCCAAACCCAGCCCTGCTGGGGGCACAGGGATGGATGCACACTGGGAACAGGGAGAGTCACAGCTTCTTCACCTTGTCTTTGTTCTTCTGCAGTTTAGTGTGCACCACCTTGAGAGTAGTGAGGAAGTTCCCGAGGAAGAGCAGCAGGAATGTGAAAGCCAACACAAAAACCTGAAAAGGGAGAGGAAGCAGCATTTATTACCTGGTAATATTACAACATGGATTATATTCAGCACTGCTGGGATCTACCAGACACAGAACAGGCTCTCTGCTGCATTATCCTGAGATATTTAAATGGAGTCAGATACCCAAATATCTTTCAGGATGTGGTCAAGCATCCCCTCTGCCCTGCTCTGTGCTTCTGAGCAGAGCCAACACACACCTGCCATTCTTTGCATTCCTTGTGCCTTGACAATCTGAAAAGCGTGATTGCATTGTATAGCTGCCAGAACTGCAAAGGGGAAGAGAAAAAGGCAATTTAATTATGAGAAAAAATAATTAAGCCTTGGAAACATTTGTCATGGCTGTGTGTGACCCAAAGCATCTTTGGGTGGTGCAGGCACTGCGCCACAGAGGGAGGAGGGGATCACACAACTTACATGCCCAAAGAACAAGAAGGGAAGGAGAAACGTCAGCCCCCGCCACATCCAGGACTGGAATCCTTCTGGAAAAGGTTGACAGAAGAGGCAGAGCATGAGCACAGAAGAGCCAGTACTGGACCTGCAGCTCTTCTCCACCCAGCTCACCCCATAAGGGCTATTCCTGTCAAGCAAAAATATTTGCTTGAAACTGTGGCAATTGGAGAAGGATAAAGCTGGGGATTACCAAAACCTCCATCTTAGTCTCCTCAAATGCTGACAAAGATCAGATTCCTTTCCTGACCCACAGGACCCAAGCACAGGGATAAAAGTCTTGCTGCCCTTCCTGCCTTGGGACACAGGCAGCCAGGCAGGGGACAGCTCTGCAATGGATGGGCACACAGCCCTCTCCCTCCCTATCACTGCACCCAAAACCTGTGCAGAGCAGTACAAAGAAAGCGTAGCAGGAGACCTCACCTACTGTAAGGTCCAAGTGGTTTCTCTCCCCCAAAGCCCGGAGCCTATAGAGGCAGCCCCTTTGGTAATAATACTGTAAGAACTGAACACAGCCTGCAGAACGAGAGAGAAAACATAACTCCGTTGGTTATTCAGAAGTATGGTAAGTATCAAATTACTTTAATAATGTTTAATCCAACAGCATTTAATTATTGCTTATATTTGTAGATTGCCTAGTTGTACACTATCTTTATATTCCTACAGTTTCGTATTCCAGTATTTACCAAATGAAAGTGTTTTCTCCTAAGCATGTATGACACAAAATTACTTTATTCCCCGAATTAGCAAGGTAAGATATACTCACTCTGAAATATTGAAAATGCTAAAAATTGACTGCGAAACATCTGATACATGAGTCCATCCGGCCTGGAAGCAGAACATGGGGAGGTCCATTAATCTGCTAAAAGCATCCAATGCATCCAACCCTTCCCCTTCACCACCAGGCCTGATCCCATTAGCAAACGAACCAGCAGCTGGTGCCCACCCATTCCACCCACTGGGAGCCCAGAGAGGTGCTACAGCCACACAGGAAGTGCTCTCATTGATTAGGTTTCCTCTCTCTAAAAGGATAAATGCTGTCCCCTCTTATCCTTTATCACAGTTTTCTCCAGGCAGCAAAGCCATTCAGCATCATCTGCGTTGAGAATCCGAGCACTGCAACATGGGGTGGTTGTGCTGCTTATCCTGAGGGCAGTTCAGGATAGATGGAGGGCAAAGGACCACCTGTCCCAGCCACTGTCAGCCCCTTACAGATTCAGGAGCAGAAGCTTCAGTTGTTTTCAAACAGTTTTTAATAATTAACTCATCATTTCATGCCCAAGTTGAGACAGGTTGCACAGGGGGTGCATTGTGGGTTGTCTGACCACCACCAGCACCCACTGCAAGGGGGTAACTTGAATTTTTTGCTTTAAATTCTCTAATCAAAGCTCAGTTAAGGCACCAAACACTCATTTTGTGGTATCCCTCCTCTATAGCAAAGTGCTGCTTGTTTCCTTAAGTACAGACAGAAACTGGGAGACTTGCAGAAATTTTGCTATCACCAGCCCAACTAGAGTCACAGGGTTTGCATTTCTTTCTTGTTTTTAACCAGCAATGTAAATACAACCTTGCAGTGTTGTATTTATCATTGAAAACATCTGTAACATCAAACAAATATTAAGGCTGACATGCTGCCATGTGTCCTGTGGTCACAGCTTCGTGGTCACTGATTTAAATGCTCAGATGATATAAACACCATGGAACAGGCTTGAAGCACCTCGAATAGGCAAGAGCAGACTCACCATGTTAACATCACTCCAGACAGGAATGTGGAAACGTAGTGATGAGACACCCACCAGCCTTTGATCCTGAGCAGAAAAAAAAACATGGCAGTTAGACAAGAAACATGGATTTCAGCATTGAAGTCCAGCTTTACAGGCAAAAAATGATCCAAAAATGGGAACAAAGTAGATGTCCCAACTCAAGCACAAGGGATGCTGTGGCATTTCCAACCAATGATGTGTGACCTCTAACACAAGGCAGCACATACACCCCAGACCACATCTACAACTAACCTACAGCTACCAAAACCAGCCAACACCTTGGACCAATAACTTAGGGACTCCTAGGAACTGCAACTGCTCTCTGCCCAAAGCTCAGGTGGCCACATGTGCCCTTGGAAGTGACCAGGGAGGAGGAGAGAGACAAGAACTCTGCAGAGAGGCCATGAGCATCTCAGATTTGCTAGGCTTCAGTGCCAAGCTCAATCCTTTTTTGTTGCCTGGTTTTCTTTAAGGACATTTCGTGCTTTCCATGGTTTTTGCAGGTGGCACTGTACCTTGAGCCATTGCTAATGAGAATGCTTTCCCGTATCGTCAGCGTGCAGTAATACCACACCAACAGAAAGTTAAACACTTCATCTGTCACCCTGTTAAACACAAAAAACACAGAGTAAAAAACCCTCTTGTTAATTATAAAGACACATTTCAAAAATCCCTCTTTTTCCTTCCTCCTCCTGGGTAGATGAAAACCCAGTGAGTGCCCCAGTGAGGCTATGGACAAAAAGTCCCATCCTGAACATCTGCAACCCACATGCAGCACTGCCAGGCTCCAGGCCCTTTTCCCTGGGATCCACCACTGCAGATCCTGAGCTGATAAGCAGGTATGCAGGGACGACATTAAGTGCTGCTCAAGGAGAGAAAGCACCACAGAAGCAGCAGATGATCCAATTTAGAGAGGCCTTTCCAGGCTAATTCAATGAGGAGATTCCATGAGATCTATATAAATCAAATCAACTAAAAGAATGGAAGAGCATTATGCTCTGGTGCAAAAAAATTAAAACACTAAAATTTTATTTTGCCATTTGCAAACTCCTGAAGCCAAGGGGACTTGGAGCAGCCTCTGTACAGGGCAGCATTGTTCCTGGTACAATCCTGCATTCACTCAGACACACAGAGACCGTAGTGGAAGCGTGTGGCTCCAACACCTTCCTGGTTTTTAAGCAAAACTGAATAGTGGAAGCTTGTTGGTGCTCAGACACTTTATCACAACCTAGAGGTAATGTTTCAGGTCTGATTATTTCACGTAAATTCTCTTTTATTTTATTTTATTTTTTTTTTCCCCAGAGCCGCAGCGCAGTGTTGGTCCCTGCCTGGGACAACCCACAAGCACAACCAACTGCTCATTCCCAATGACAACACGATGCCAGAATAACATCAATTTTTAGCATCATCAGGAAAAATGATGTTGGACTTCCCTTTTAAAAAAGAAAAACAATGAGCTAAAATACATCTGACAGAGCTGAAGAAGTGCAGGTGTCCTGCTGCCCAATTGCTCAAAGCCGAAACACAACCTGAGCTGTCTCACTGTCCTTAACAGTACTTAAGATAATTCAAACCCAGCACAATTTTATGCAAAATACTTGATAAGAAATAAAAATGTAGCTTACCTGTAGTGGAGAAAACACCTGCAGGCAACAGCCCCGAGTAACAAGATTATTGTCAGATAAAGTTTGAACTTCTCATACTCGTCCTTGTAGGCAAACCTGGAAGGAAACAGGTGCCATTTGTGGACACAAACAGATGTTTGATTGGAATATGGCTTCACCTTTTCCAAACCACATACAAAGACAAATGCCAAGCCCAGAGACAGAGGTTTTGCTGAAACACTTAGAAAAGCTGTGGACAGTGGTGAAAGGCAGTGTTCTGCCTGCAGGAAGGGTCTGTCTCAGCTGCAACACAATGCCTTGAAGTCCATCAGAGCTGGTTTCTGGGTTGGCATGACAAGATTTTAAAAGTACATATATATCTCGAGTTTCTGGAGCACTGTATGCCTAGAAGTCACAGTGTCATTTTTCAGCACAAAAAACTCCACTTTTACAATTAAGGCCGCAGGCTGAGCTGGGCTTAAAAGCAAGCAATAAATTGAATTAATTAGAGCTACATAAGATGTTAGCTTATCCCTATGTCATAGTCCAATCATCCACCCTCAACATTTCAGTCATCAGGTCTAAGAGAAACCCATTCCCCTCTCTGGGCTTCAGTCCACACCCACAGCTGGCCCCAGACAAACCCAAACTCACACATGTGGGAGGCTCACTCACTTTGCCTGGTTGCTCAAGAGAGTGACATTCACATTTCCCAGCACCAGATTTAAGTACAGGCTGGAAGACAAAAGCCAAGAGCAGACTCAAGTAAGTTGTTTTATTTGAACAGGATAATCTAGATTAAGGTGATGAGACAGTGGCTCTGCCAAAGCCATATTTGCTGGAGGTTTTTAATTAAGACAAATTAAAAAGACCACAGAAAGGGCTTTACACATGGAAATATTGGTCAACATTTCTAGTAAGTTACTGAAAAGGCTTATTTTCCTGGTCCCTTTATCGCATTAGAGTCTAAGGGCAATATATGTAGTGTGCAGGTCCAAACCCAAACACAGGGAGGATTTGGAAGAGATGTTTCTGATGGAAACTTCTGAGGGGCTGCAGCATCACACAGCCCTTGACAATTGATATAACTCTGTCCTAGCAACCCCATTTGAAGCAAAAGTTAAAGTTGGTTAAAAATATTATTAAAAAAAGAGAAAAGTCTTGTTCTGATTCAGCCCTCAAAAAAATTAGCCCAAGAAAACATTAGTGTGGAACTGCACAATCCCTTGCCAGTTCAGGTTACTGTCATTTTAACAGAAAACCTGCACTGCCCACACACATTTACATCCACTCACAGCTAATGAATTCTGTGTACAACTGACACAGCAGCTCAGCAAGAGATTTATGACTAATCCAATTTTACGTGTCTTTCTTCAACCTTTTCCTTCAGGAACAAAGCACTGTGAACATCTAAAAATCCAAAATTCCTGGAGCACACAAGCATCCCTGGTGGAGCACGTACCCATTCCTCTTGGGCAGGTAGGCTTCCATGTCAAAGAAGGCATTCTGCCTCTCCTTGATCTGGCTGCTGATCTCCTGAATGAGAGCAAACTCCTCAGGACTCGCTCTGGGCTTGCACCTGCAAGAATACAGAAACAAGATATTCCTGTTCATGTTTTCACCTCCGTTTTATTTGAAGGAAAATAACGTTGTCATAAAATCCAGCCTGTTAAAAAGCTGGCTCTGTGAGCTGACAAGCTTTGCTCCTGTATTTCTGAGGATTTGGCTTATCATGACTTTATTTCACTGCCAGGTTTATGCTGCTGTAGTTTACTTGCACCAGTTGGTTTATAAATCAGCTTCTCTTTTCACCAGCTCAGTGACAGGATCGTGTGGGAATACTGTGCTTTTCTGAAGGAACTCCCTCCACCCTGGGAACTCTGTGTGTGGTTTCAGGCACTGCCCTTACAGAGGCTGAAGCTCTTTAGGTATGAAGTAATTCAGGATGTAACAGGACACAGAGCTGATGATTTACTGACAAACTGTGGTTTTAGTAATTAATGTTAACCAGAGAGCAGTGAGCAGCAGAGCCAGCAGCCTGTGGTGTCAGAGGTGCTGTACTCAGGCCTGCACACAAGGAATTCAGCCCGTGGCTCCTGGGATCAGCCAAGCAGCCAGAGACAGTTCTTTATTTACAGGGCTCCCTCTGCCATGCAGTAGTGAACACTCTACTTAGCTGTAATATGGAACAACTTTAGCACTGCAACATAGATTTTCTAGCAAAAGTACTATGAATCCAAGCATTTTAGCCCTTGGGAAGGAGAACTATCCCATCCCTGCCTCCTCCACCCTCCAGGTCTCCTGTTACCGCTGCAGGCTGTGCTTCAGATCCCTCAGTGTCTTCTTCTGCCGGTGTATGGAGCTGCTGCAGGCTGTCTGCAAGCTGGTGACTTCTTCCAGTTTCTGCCTGTAAACTTTGTGTGTTTCCTGCAGGAAAAGAGGAGATGGCTGGTAAGGAAGAGCCTTTCTGGGTTATTCATGGCATTTGGTCCTCACCTCCAAGGGAAACAAGGAAGATCCTGGTTTTATGGGATACAACAGGCACCCCTTTAATAAACAAGGAGGGGGAGATGCCAAACCAGTACAGATACAATAGGGCTTAAATGGACACTGATGAAATTCCTGCAAGAGGACAAACATCCTCTACATTCATCTCATTTCCTCTTTAAGGGCTTTCCCACTCAGGAGTTTCACTCCCATCCCACCCTGCAATGAAGCCCCTAATCCATGAATTCCCTAATCCTCCATTTGATCCTGATCCATGCCCATCAAATGGTGGCTAAATCACAGAGCAGGCATTCCAATTTCACAGCCAGATTAAATCTTGGAGAAAATAAATGAGGACCTAACAGAGTGGGGGAGGGAGGGGAAAGACACAACACCACGCATAAATCCAAGGCTGGGGGTTTAGGCACATCCTGGCCATCACTGCCATCCCAACCCCATGGATATTCAAGCAACCTACTGCCCCATATCCTGGTTTAAAGGGCTGAACTGATGTCCCTGCCTGTGGCCTCAGATGCTGGCTGGGAGGAACTGCTTTATCACAGCTCATTGGTCCCCTGGATCCCCCAATTAGCGCTCAATCATAACGAGGACACGCTCACCCCTCCCTGCACTCAGGGATACCCAGACTCTGTTTTTCCTCCCTCTGCAAGGATTTCACCCCCTCCCCATGAAGGAGGTCTCAGGAAGGGCTCCCCAAGCACCAAGCAATGACCTCTAAGCCAATTTTAAGACCTATAATAAGATGGAAAACAGAGTTTGCAGAGTTAGTGCCAAGAGACAGTGTGGGTTACATGGCTGCTTCACCTACCAGCACACCAACAAACACAGGAGATTCCCACCGCTCTTCCCAGAGCATGAACATGGTGGTGAAACCACACAAACCAAATCTTTGCTCTCCTCCTTGCTTGGACCCATCTGGTAGATGTTCTTTATTTACAAGAACAATCCAAACCAGGCTCCAGTGTCTGATTTAAAGACCTTAATAACCAAACTAACCCTGTACAGGCACTGCAGCTCTCACGTTTGGGGCTCACTTTGGTTTTGGTAAGCACACCTTTACAGCACTAATTCCTGCTCAATGACACCTCGACCACCAGCAGCTGCCACCCCACCAAAAAGGGTGGCAAAGTGTTTCTACTTTCCTTTTCCAGGTGGGGAAGCTGAGGCAGGGAAAATCACTGCCATTTACTGTGGTCTAGGTCAGACTCAGGCAGGGAGCTTGTCGAGAAGGCGCACACAGCAAACAAGTGCCCAACAAAACCACACCAGCTGGTCTCTCCCAGCATCCAGCTCTTGTTTCTGCTAACAGGAGTACAACCTGAACTGAGTTTTAATTAAGAAACAGACTAAATCTGGAAATCACACTTTTTTTTTCAAATGCACATTCTGTTTAACAGTCTAAAAGAGGCTAAATCAGCCTTCAGAGTGAGAACAGCTTTTAGAACCGGCTTTAAGATTTAAAGCACGTGTATAGGTGAAGCACTGATGACAAGCAGGGGAGGAAGGGAAGGTTTCTGGAGGTAAAAGCATCTTTTGGCCCCCACTCCCGAGGCCCTTCTGTCCCTCAGTGCACTTTTGCAAGATAGAAAAACAACACTTGAACCCTTCGTATCTCACCAGGGGTGATCAAACTCCGCCAGGAGATGCCGGCGGGACAAGCGCTGCCTGCACTGCTCTTTGCACCACTCCATGGGTGCACAACCGCACCGCGTCCCCTTTTCCCATCCTCGTTCCAGCAGCGGGAACCGCGGCACCACATCCTGGTGCATCCTCAGAGGGAGGTTTGGGCTGGGCTGTCCCACGCGCTCGCACACGGGGCACGGGCTGCAGGCGGGGGCCGTGCAGGGATGCACATCCTCCGTGCGGGCACCCCGCGGCCACTGCACCGAGCACGCCTGGCCACCCCGGGCGGGGCGGGGGCGAGCCCGTCCGCACCTCCGGCTGCACCCGCCGAGCCGCCCCGGGGATGCGGCCGGCGGTGGAGACCCCCGGTCCCGCTCCTGCCGGGCGGGGCGAGCCGGGGGCCGGCCCCGCATCGCGATGCGAAGCGGAGCCGGCAAGGGCAGCGCGGGGCAGCGCGGGGGAAGCCGCGTCCGCGCAGGCGGGGGATGCACCGCGCTGCCCCGCAGTCCCCGCCGCCGCCCGCTCACCTGGAGCTGCCGGAACTCCTCCTCCAGCTCCCGCCACTCGCCGCGGCACCGCTCCAGCTGGGCCCGCATGGCGCGGGGCCGCGCCGCTCCCGCGCCCGGCGCGCGCCCGCCGCCCGCACGCCCGGGCCCGCGCGCCGCCTGCGCCGCTGACGTCATCGCGCGCGGTCACGGCCGCGGCCCCGCCCCCCCCACTCCCCCCGCCTGAGGGGAGGGACCCGGCAGGTGAGGGAGCGCTGCGGTCTGTGCTCCCCTCGGCCCGCAGAGCCCCTCAGGTCAAGGCTCCCTCAGGTGCGGGGTGCGGGATCATCTCCCGTGATGGCCCCCTCAGGCCCGGGATCCCCTCCCGTGATGGACCCCTCAGTCCCGGGATCCCCTCCCGTGATGGACCCCTCAGTCCCGGGATCCCCTCCCGTGATGTCCCCCTCAGGCCCGTGATCCCCTCCCATGATGTCCCCCTCAGTCCCGGGATCCCCTCCCATGATGGACCCCTCAGTCCCGGGATCCCCTCCCATGATGGTCCCCTCAGTCCCAGGATCCCATCCCCTGATGGACCCCTCAGACCCGGGATCCCCTCCTGTGATGTCCCCCCTCAGTCCCGGGATCCCCTCCCGTGATGGACCCCTCAGTCCCGGGATCCCCTCCCGTGATGTCCCCTTCAGTCCCAGGATCCCCTCCCATGATGGATCCCTCAGTCCCAGGATCCCCTCCCATGATGGTCCCCTCAGTCCCGGGATCCCCTCCCATGATGGATCCCTCAGTCCCAGGATCCCATCCCCTGATGGACCCCTCAGGCCCGGGATCCCCTCCTGTGATGTCCCACTCAGGCCCGTGATCCCCTCCCGTGATGGACCCCTCAGACCCGGTATCCCCTCCTGTGATGGACCCCTCAGACCCGGGATCCCCTCCTGTGATGTCCCCTCAGTCCCGGGATCCCATCCCCTGATGGACCCCTCAGACCCGGGATCCCCTCCCGTGATGTCCCCTCAATCCCGGGATCCCCTCCCGTGATGGTCCCCTCAGGCGCGGCCCCTTCAGGCCTGTGTTCTCCTGAGGCCAAAGCTCCCCTCAAACGGGGAGGGTCCGCTCGGCTGCTGTCACCCATCTTGCCCGGTCACCTCCTGGAGGCCCTGCACCTCTCCTGAGCTCCATTGTGTTGTGGCAGCACCGAGGTGTGACATGGAAGGATCTTCCTGCCCTTTAAGGGTGGTTCATCACACATGGAGCTGAGAGTGGAGATAAAATCCTCCACTGCACAGGGCCAGCCCCCTCAGGGAGACCTGGTGGCTGAATCTGAGGCAGCTCAGCCCTGCAGCTGCCTGGACCTTGGTCACAGGTCCTTGGTATCAGAGAAGATGACAAGAGGATTTCTGATGTCTTTATTTTTACAATAATTACCCACTCAGCAGCTGGGCTGGCCAGCTGTGAGCTGGGCCTGATGTTCTGGGGCAGGGTGGGAAGAGTTGTAAATATTGACACCACATCCTGTGAGTTTCTTGTGCAAGGGTAGAAATTGGCAAAGAGGAAGAAAAAATGAAGGGGGAAGGAAGCAATTAAAAAAAAAAAAAGGTACAAGGGAGAGGGGAGGAATGAAGCCAAAGTAAAAACACAAATGCAATGCTGTCTTTTCATGATGTAGGATCTTTTCTCTATGTATGTCTTTTCACTATGTAGGATCCTGTTTCCTTGAATTTCACAGAAACAACCAAAAATATTGTGTGTAGAGATCATTGTTCTTGCTGTTCCTGGTCCTTCTCTAGGTCCACTGTTTGACTTTTTGTGTGGTTTTTTTCATACATTTGTGGGTGGAGACCTGAAATGCCGTTGATGACCTTCTGCATTCAGTTTCCAGAGAAACCCTCTCAGAACTTGCAGTGGTTTCGGATTTCTGCTGGTTTAAGAACCACCAGGGATGTTGCATTGTCCCTGCTGCTTCTCCAGTGAAGCCATGATTGTCCAGAGATCAAACACATGTTGTGGCAGGTCTTGGTAATCCTGAAGTAGAAAAATAAACTAATCAACATAATAAAAATGTCACAGGAATTTGTTATATTAATTTTTTTTCCTGGATTCTAGCATTTGTCCATTATCCTATGTAACAGGACTTTATGTTACAGGAGGCCTGGATTTTGGATTACAGACTTTAGAAGAAGGAGGATCACATCTCGGATCAGAGCATTAACTCTGCGCTGGATACGTGCCAAAACTTTCCAGTTCACCACAAGGTTGGAATAGTCCCTGCCAGCAAAGTTATTTTTCCTTCCCACATGAAAACATTCCCTCCACCTTTGCAGTTCTCTGTCAGCCCAGTTTATCACAGAGCCAGCCCTGAGATGTAGCTGTATCTTACCCCTTGCTGTTGAGGTTGGAGTGCTGACCCTCCTGCAGATCTGGGGAATCCAGAAAGGAAAAACGCTTCAACATTTGTAGGATTGCTTGTGTCAGTTCAGGAAAAGGTGCTTTTAGAAGACATCATAAACTGTCAATAACCCCTAGAAGTACTCCTTTCGCTGCTGATGTGTAAACCTCAAAAGAGCAGAAGGAAACTCTTATCAGGCATGAATATTTGTCCTGGGCTGGAATTCTGCAGGCTGATGACATTCCATTAGGGCTGTGGTTGGTGTTTCACATACAAAGGCAGGAAATGTTGTGCATTTCCCACTCAGAGCCCTGCTGTGCCGGCCCCAGAGCTCTCTCAGAACACCAAGGGATTTATCCCAAACTTCCTACCTCTCCCCTACACCTCTTGACAAGGAACAATTCTTACACATGTTGTGGCTGTGCATATGATTACCTCAAAAGATTTCTTTCAACTTTTTAACTAAGCCATGCTAATTAATATTCATCCAAGAAATCTGCATTTTCTTTCAAAAAGAAATCACAAAAACATTTTGTTAAGCACAAACAATGGGAGTGTAGCAGGGCCTTACAGCTGGTTCTGCATTATTTAACTTTGCATCATTACAAAATACTTCAGAATTACCTGTAAGCTCTCCCCACCCCCTGGGAGGCTGTAGCTCTTTGTATAATCTCATTATTTCAATCACATCTTTGTGAACAAAACTAAAGCAAGCTGAGATAACAGTGATCCCCTCAGCCCTGGATGGGGAGCAGGGCTCTGTGCAGCTGATGCTCCGGGCTCCCACACTTTGCCTGTCTTTCACTTGTGGCAACACATGAGGAATGGTGCTTTTCCTCTGAATTTCAATATTTTATGATCATTTTTCAAGGTATCTTGCAAGTTTTAATGGCTGTCTTCTGCTGCCAGAGATCACCTAAGGCCATTGCACAGCAAATATACCTTTACCTTAATTAATCCCCAACTCACCAACCTTTCACTGCCAGAAAACATATCTAAGAAATTGAGTTATTAAATCAAGGTAAGGATCACAGTGAAATTGTGACTGTTCTCTGGGTGTTAGATTTTGTTTGAGAACACATAGTTCTATGTACAGTCACATGTGAGCTCCTTTCCTTCACCCTTCAGACTATTCCTAATGCAAATTCCATTCATTCTTTCCTCTTAAGATAATTGGGGCTGTTTCCTTTGATGCTTTTCCCCTATCCTAGAAATGCAGATTCTTTCCAGCACAGCAAACCAGAAAGGACAAAATATAAATGAGATTAGTCTCTATTCTAACACCAGGTGACAATAAGCCGTGATAAATAGAATACTTGGCACATGTTTCAGCTGGAGAACCACACTGCTGAATCATCTTGTATTCATCTAGATTTATCCCACAATTAAGGAATAAAGTAAGGACTTGAAGTGAGGCATTAGCTCAAGTATGGCCAAATTTATCTGCCTCTAATGATATAAAGAGTCTTGCAAAGCACTCCATGGTCAGTAAATAATTCTCAGCTTTGGGTGACTTCAGGAATTAACACCATAACTTTACCTTTAAACCTCTACCTTGTTGCAGGTAGTTAAGCAGAGACCAAGACCTGTAAATCTGCAGCAACAGGAACTCTTGGGGAGAGGGTATCTGGTGTCAGCTTCCAGGACTTCAGCCTTTCAGTTTGCATGACTATCTAAGTGCCTGAACATTCCAGATAACCCAGGGGTTTAACTTTAGGTTGTTTTGATGTAAAACCAACATGGTTTTTATCTTGAGAGAGCTGCTCTCAGCAAAAAGGAGGGAAGAATTTTAAATGCTTTCCCACAAGGCTGCCTCTTAAACAAACTAGAGGCAAGCAGGTGAAGTTTACACCTCAAACATTTCACTTCAATCCCTTCTAAATCCTGCTAATGACAATTCTTTAGAGCACAGTGGTGGGGATGCTCCTTCAGCTCACCCACACAGGCTTGGTTGGAGTCCAAGACCCTCCCACCTCTTCCCTGGCTTTTCTTTTGAATATAGCAGCAATAAAACACACATCTGAGCATCCCACTTCCACAGTATGTTGTTGTCGTCACACTCTTCACCTTTAAAGAATTCCAACATATGTTTCCCTAAATGCTTTTTCTCTATTTATTCTACGAAGTTCCCAGAATAAATTTAATTTATTGATTCTGACAGTTTTCAGTTGGTTTGGACATTTCACTTGGGTGATTCCCCAAGCAAACTCAGCTTGTAGCAGCTGTCTCCTTTCACTGCAAAAATTATTGGTTTCAGATGTAGAGTACTAAGGGCCTTGGGCTATATTTAATTTTTTTTTTTTTTCAATACTACCCTTAAAAGTGATAAAAATAAAAGTGCATCAGATGTCACAGGCCTGTGCTGTAGAAAGGTGTTTCTGGGCATGTTTCCATGCACAAACTCCCAATGCTTGGTTTGCTCTTCAGTGTGTCCAGCCTGGAAGTGGAGTTCATTGCAGTGAACTGTGTTAGCAGAATAATGGGCTGAATTACTGCATAATTTACATGGACAGATTGAAAAGCTTCCTTTCAGTCTTAATAAATGTAAGGTTTAATCAACTGTCAGACCACTAAAGCAGCAGCAGAACTGAAGCCCTGGCACTGCCTGGCGAAGGTTTTGCTGTTCCTTGGTGTCAGTGGTCAGTGCCTGTCAGAGTGAAACAAGAAAAAGAAACAAAAAAGCCAAGAAGGGTATCTGGGCCCAAATTTTGGCTGGCAAGGCTGGAGCAAGGAGAATTGTGTCAAGGAAAACCCAAATTCTCTTCCTAGCACATCATA